CAAAGCACGTACAAAATCCTAAATATAGAAACGTCAAAATAAATCTTACGTCGTTTGTCCACTGTCCAGATGTCGAAATTGCGAGTAAAATTAATCGTCAAAGACACTTGAAAACAGAAATAAAAACAGTAATTTCATGACACTTCTTTTCAACTGATATTATGCTGAAAATGTTTGGCGGTTTTGTTGCATTCCAGAAAGCAACTCGGATTACAACCCAGACTGGAAGTCTAATTACCTGGTACCGACGTTCGCACGGTGAGGGCACCGTGGTCAGGGGGCTCAGAGCAGCTTCCCACTTTTCCAGTTGGACAATGCAGTACTGGGTTTTTTACACAATACAAAAAGAAATTATAAAATAAATAATTGCAAGTTACATAAATAAAACACATTCCTGTCAGTCTACAATCTTTAGAAGACGAAAACCCTTTCACTTTCTATCAAAACAGTTTGGGTGAAGCACTTAGAAATTGATTTGGATTCAATATAACAGACTAACTATACAGTCGTATTCTACAATGCAAACATCCTGAGCTAAGAAAGGCTTTTGAGAGTCACAAGAAAAAAAAATGGGAAAAAAAGAATGGTACTGGCAGAAAAACGAAACAGAATGAAAGTTGAGAAAAGTAAAGATAAACATTTGTGTAAGAGGACGAATCGTATAAGACGAACTATGCATTAAAGCTTCAAGGGAGAACAAGAAAATTAATTGGATGTGATAAAATATGGGAAAAAGTGTAAGAAAACAGACACCTGTATTGTCCAAAATGGCTGCACAGAAGAATGGTTATATTCGTGTATAAAGAACATAGTTCATATTTAAAGGGATAAGTACGAATTAAAAAAGAATTTAGTTTTGAACTTAACTTCACAATCGGTTAGACATCGTCAATGAACTAGAAAATATGTATGTATTATTGTTTTAAACATCATCGGAACAGGCGAACCGCTAACAGAGTGAAACTAATTCCACGGAAGAATTTTTCTTGAGAAGATGATAGTCGCTCAGACAATCAAGGAATTATTCGTATTTAATGGAAGTAGAAGATTCATTCTTGTTCTCAAGAGACCGTCACCGGTCGCTGTCCTGAACTAAGTAAATCCAATCCACTGTCTTTATTTTAGGATCTATTCTAATATTAACCTACCATTAACGTACTGGGCAAGATAATACTAAAGTAACAGCTGATTATCAAGTTGCTTTCTGAAAAGCACCTACAAACTTGAAAGCCTAGACAAAATTCATTTTCACATTCTTGACATAGTTTTTAAGAAATCTTCGATTACTTTGATACGGTTATCTATTGCAACATTCGCAAGGACACACTTCACCATTTTTTTAATCCAGTCAAGTTTTACTGGTGTGTTTATGACAGTGGTTAAAATATAACCTCTAAGACTAATTTCTTCATTCCCTGTATTCTAACATATAATCGTGTACATAAAGCATTTAATGTCCCATTACCAAAAGCTTCTAACGATTATTTTCAAGCTATTTATAACAGAAAGCAGGCAAACCTACAAATGACATTTAATGGTTTTCTTCTAGAGGTTATTTGTAATGGCCCTGCCATTTGGTGCAGCCTACGCTAAAGTTTCTTCAAGCGACAGCCTATGTCACCCTTCAGGATATCCATTTTTTCAGAAATAACTGTTTTAATATCAATGTTTTTGCAAGGTAAAAACTCAATGCCTTTATGTAACACGCAAGTCACCGTAGCGGACACAGTTTTATTGATCGCCTATTTGATGAAGTAATAGTTTATGGAAGTTGTCGAACTCTCATAATTAGACAAAATGCAATGCGCCATTTCTACTTCCGTTTCGTATCCTAAAGATAAAGGAATCGATTATCTGGATTAGATATGTTTTCAGTTAATACTGGTTAAACTTCCTAATATTTGTCCTGGAATATCAGTTTTAAATAGACAACGAGAACAAACTCCCTTCATAACAACAAAACATTCATCTCATAAACTAATGACGCCATTACTACAGTAACTTGTTTGACCATTTCTAAAGGTCTCTGTATAGAAATTTAGGTCTATCGTGCAGGACCCTGAATCACCTCGTTTTTTCAAGGAAAAGCGAAAATTTCAGACCAAACAGACTCACTGTATTTGTGTGCTTTTGCTGGCATGTCCGACGCTGAACATTTTGTTTATTTTGATAATTATGTATTGCAGCGGTGACTAACAGGAGTAACAAAACTGGAGCAGCAGTAAAGCTTCATACCTTAACCGGTTTCAAATCTGAGTTGATTCTGGCCACCCCAAATACGTCGTGTTTTTCCTCAGTCTTACAGAAGCAATCGAGACTGTTCTATAGCAGACATAGAATCAGACTCCATCGCGAGCCACTGAGAGGCAGCCGTGATGACATGCTAGCTGCGAGCACGGTCATGTATAATAAAGATCACGGCCTACTTTGTCGGTAAAGGAAAGGGATCAAGCACAATTCTGCCGGACCAAATTATATGCCTAAACTTCAGCTTCAAGATTCCGTTTCAATTCATTTATATAAATCCATTATAAAATTCAGACCATTAAAACAACCGTTCTCTGGTCTCAGAAATTCACAAAGTTACCCTTCAAGAGCCACCAGATGAAGGAGGAACAAAGCCAATCACACGGCTGTGCATATTCTCCGAAAGGTAAAAAGCGAGCATTAAATAATGATAACACGTGGGCACTAGACATCCCTATTTCAGTACGGTTGGTTTTCATCGATCACCACTTTTGACAGGATCTGAAAGTTCTTTTTGGATCAGGTAAAATAAACGAAGGAAGTTCTTCGCTTAGAGACACCTACTCAAGTTCTTCTTTGTAAAATAATTTCTACCAAGAACTTTATCCAAAAACTGAAAGAAATTACGATGATTTAAAATACGACTTTTGAAAGAAATTATTAAATGATTTCATGAAAATATTCTCTACATGATATGTCCCTTGAAATATAAAATATTTTAAAATTGTTCTGAAAATAACAACACAAAATACATTTCTAAGAGCAAAATTCCGTCTGAAACAAAGGTAAGCATTTACAGATGCTATCATTAGGAATTTAAAGGGTTTAATATTACGATATTAACTGGTATGTCAGATATTAGTTAGTGTCCTGCATTATTTGTAAATGTTATTATGAATTTCAGTTTGGGGGAAGAACTTCCGAAAAAGAAACCCACGAAACATCGAACATTTTTAGAAGAATTCGAATTTTGAATAAAAATTTAAACCTACATAAATGAATGTTTCAGAATGAATCATTTTATTTTTGGAGAAAATATCAAGGTCGTCTTGTGACGACAACACAGCCTACTGGTCTCGATAAAACGCACAAAACATATTTAAGAATCAGGAAATTAATTTTCATACCCTCAAGGTGCAATGTTTAATTATATTAGAGAGTTACATTTATTAATAACGGCATTTTGAACAATAAAGTTTGTCTTCTGTGCCCAATTGCATAAATGATGAGTACTGCAAAGAACTTCGGTGTCGATCATTATCTCCGTCCACAGAATGCCAGACAGAATACAACAAAGGCATTTGAAAATTTAATGAAGAAGGGATGGGGCTAAACATTGTATTCGTTTACAAGTATGGACTCCGTCCAGGGCAGAGGAACAATACCGACCTAATGTTATTAAGGGAATTGACCATTACTGAAGGTCCCAAGTCGTGATTAGACGAAAAGAAGCACTGTACTGACCTTTCGAAGTCCAGCCAGCGTATCCTATCAGTCCTCTTTCAGTTGCACTGGCTCCGAATATTGAAGGGAGGCGTCTTGTCGGTAAGGTATCATTCTGATTAATCGATTCCAAACCTGAAAATAAATATAATTATCTGCTTAAATGTCTACAAATTCAAACATAATGACTTATTGCTTTATGTAACATGCTTTTCTGTATAAAATTAAATTATAAACCCGAAAACTTAAAAATTACGCTGATAAAAGCAGTCGTGACCTTTTTTCACCTTCCCAAGAGAAACTGAGGAAAATCACACCTCATTCACGATAGCCAAACTCAGAACCGGGATTCGATGTCGGGACCTCCCGAATTCAAAGCCAGCACCACGCCCTCTGAAAACACTTTGGTTTATTTAGACAGTGTTTTAGTTGTTGCGGTGGATAGAGACTACGTCTCTGTGGAGCTGAGCCATAAACGGGCCCAATGTCCATCACCCACATCATCTATGGCGACAAGCCGGCGACTAACAATTTGAGTTATGACACGGTCTACTCTCACGGAGTTTGGTGGAAAAGAAAATCTACGGAAAAAACTTTGCCTGCGCGCTCCTAATTATGCATTCATTAATGCAAGTATATCTACTGTACGAACAAAGACAAACATCTAGGTCCTGGAGGTACACGAATTCTCATCTTACGTTTGTTAAGTTCTGCGATTCAAACAACTTAGTCGACGAAATCAACACCAGCCTTTTTACGTCAAGAAGAAACTTCAAATAACTGCCATTCATACAACTCTGTAAATTGTGAAGAGATGAAAGGCAAGAGTGAGTGACTGCAGCCATCGCCAGTATCTCAAGTTATTTCCTTCTGGCGGAGAAAACATACCAACTATCGGTTTTCGGTTCGATCACACATGACATGATATGCTTGCGGCTGTACACTACTGCCTGAATGAAGGTCACAATTTTGTTCGATACCAAGTCTCAGGGGGAAATATGTATTTATGTCGTGCAGCAGAGAAATTAAGCGCTATTACACTATGCCTAGGTACCATGTGAATATCATGCCGGGGAGGAAGTCTAGGATATGAGGGTGTACACTGAATCCACTTGGCTTAGAACAGGAACCAGTGGTGATCTCTTGAGAACACGATTCTGTTAAAGACCTCTGCAGACAATAACGACAAGAGAAGGATATAACTTATCAGCGACTTCTTATTTTAAGTTCATATCACTGTATTCTGCTAAGGACTGATTAGTGAATCGGATCATCAATATCAGTTTCAAAGACTTGAGTGTTACAAACAAAATATGGCCGATACTAAAGTACAAAAGTAAAAACCACTTTTGACGTTAATTAAAAACCTCAAGATTCTTAAGAGATTTGAGGTTCTCATGGTGGTTTCGATTTTGTTCTTATGGGTTGTGACGCCTTATAACCTTGTAGGTGGTTAGTAACGTTTCGAAGAAACGTATCTCCTCCATTTTCATGGTTGAAGTGGAGTGAAATATAAGGTTGAATGACAGAATGATCAATGAGTTCGTAAGGACATGGAAGGAAGCGGTCGTAGCCTAATTTATGGTACTATTCCGGCGTACGGTTCGAAGGACTGAAGAAAACCATATATCTCATTCAGGACAGTCAGTCTCCAGACCGGGATTTGAAAGAGACTTCCCGAAAGGGATGCAGTTTGCTAACCGCGACGTTCGGCCGAAATATTCTAAAAACTTAGAAATTATAAAGCAAGACAGTTCACACTTTTCGGTAACCGATAAGAGAGAAAAATATGTAATTCATTTTCGTTGCTTAAAGATAATCAGCTTCGTAAAAGGGACCTAAATACTCGAAACATGTAGAAGAGCTACAAGACAGTCTTAATAGAAGCCTGGGAAATACATGTTTACAAATAGCTAATGGAGAACTGTCATTCCACATAGGAGTCTAACCTTCGTTATCTAGAGGTAAGATTGACAGTGGGGGTTGTCCTTTTCACTCGCTGTTTCCAAACAAAATCTATAGAAAAGGGTGAATATAATGTGGGACGAAGATAAGCATAAAATTAAAATATTGATCAATATAGAAAATTACTGACAAGAGCTTACACTCTGAAAACTAACTTGAATTATGTACTGTAACTACAATAAGCAAATAGACCAGTGTATTTATAATTTTCTGAAAGGAAAACAAACTTTTTGTAACTGAAGGCAGAAACTTTTCATATTTGTTGAAAACTGAAATAAAGATAACTGACAACTTGCAGTAATTTACAGCTGAGTAAACAAACAGAAGTTGCGAGGAGTTCTTATGAAAGCAGCCCAATGAAGTCCTTACATTCTAAGTAAGCATTGGAAGCAAAGCTGAATTAATCTTTCATTGATCTTTTTCCAAATGTGCTTTGAATTGCTAACACTTCCAGAATCAGAGATCAAGTTTGTCACTTTAGGTTTCAAGAGGTCTTACTACGAATAAAGAAAACAATAAACAGACATTTCAAAGTTAATAGGCACATTTTTGTAACTTTTATTTGTGAATGCGCCATGAAAACCTATCAGCGTAATGACTACCAATCATTCGAAAACTGAAGTAGAGTTACGTTCCGAAACATCGTGTATGTAAAATCTACCCCAAAGTCCCAGCACTGTCATTGACTGTTGCGTATTGGGCATTGCGGCGTGTTCCAATTGAAAATTACTTCTGAAATTATGAATCAGTTTAGACATTTGGCAGGATGATCATCCTGTCGCAACGCCTCAGCCCAAACATTCGTGCCTTGAGCAGGATTCAAGTCTGCGACACCAGTACACAAGCAGCCAAGACCCAGGCCCTAGACCCTGATACTCTGACTTGTATTAAGGATTATAAGCTCGGCTATAAAATCACATTGTGGTGACCCCACACAACTACTACTAAAATAAATTTTGAGTTTGAGGAAAGAGGACATGCTTGTGGTCACTATTTTTGTGAACTTACGCAGTTTTTATCATTGTAGGCTGCTGATGGTATGGGAGGATAAGTTGAGTAACCTTGGCCTCGACAGATATGCCCTTCCGATATTACGATTAATGCGACTGACAATATGACGCAGTTCCCACCGTCGCTGGCCATTTCGGTCTTTGGCATTTCTCTATGACAGTTTCTCTCTCAACTTTGCCATTTGTTAAAAACAAACGTCACGCAGAGAAAGAGGAACTCTTCCTCTGTCGCTTATCAACTCTTTTATCTCTCTTTTATTTTTTTATTTTTTTGGTCTTGTCATCACGTACCATCCTCACATTTCAAACCAGTCGTTTAAATACAGGATCCATAAAAAAATTAAGAGGGTGTTAAATTCCGAGAATTCTTGCTGCCATACAGTCCAGAGCGTTTTATTTTCCTTTCTACTATTTAAAATTGCAGAGTAAAATACATACGCCTAGAATGTTGCCCGTTGTTTTACATGGGTGTGAAACCTTGTCCCTCAGACTAAAATAAAACGGATACTGAAGAGAATATCTGGACCTAAGAAGGAGGAAGTGACAAGAGGCTGGAAAAATCAGCGTGATAAGGATCCCCTTTTTTTGCATTCTTTTCAAAATATTATTTAAATAATCAAATAAAGCAGGATGGGATGGGCAGGACATGTACAACACACTGGGTAATGACAAATAGTACAGAAATTTTGTTGGAAAACCTGAAGTAAAGAGTCACCCATAAGACCCAGCCATAGATGGACACCATTAAAATGCGTCATAGGGACGAAGGATGGGAGAGTTTGGATTGGGTCCACGTGGGTTAGGCTAGGAACCAGTGGCAAGATCTTATGAATAAGGTAATGAATCTTCGGTTTCTACAAAATATGTGGAATTTCTAGATTAGCTGAGCAAACTATCAACGTCTCACGAAGAACTCTGCTCCAACAGCCATTTTAAACGAAGCGAATTTTTTTTCTGATAACAATTTTGGCAAGAATTATAGACCACAATACTGTCAATACTGTAGACTTATTTATAGTTTATTCAACGACGGGTTTTAGTAGCACAGACTAAATAGAGTCGAATGATAGAGTGATTAGTGAATAAGGCATTGGAAAGGATGTGGAAGGGAGCGGTCGTGGCCTAATTTAAGGTACAATCTTATAAAATAATAAAACATGAGTGAGGACAAGGATTATAAATAAAATGGGAGAAATGGATGTATGCATGATTTCGATTGGGTAGATGGAGATTGGAAGGTCTCAGAGGTAAAACTGAGAAAGGCAAGTGCCTGATGAGAGGCGAGAAGGAATATCCAGAACATGTAAGATGTCAAACAGCGGTTAATATTTAAAGACAGGGCGTCATATAATCGTCTGAAGTAGGCAGTGCAAGTCCCGATCGAAGATAAAGACGGCAATGTTGATTTTGATTAACGAAATAAGACACTCAAGTGCGATTCACGTAGGACAGACTGCGATTGTGATCACTGCTGAGTGCCTTTAACCTTTTGGAGCACGAAATTCATCTAAATAATATTTATAATTTCATTTTCAACACCAAATAAATCACAGAGCGCCTCTACTACATTGGACATTATCTTAGAGAGAAATTCATGAAAGGAATTTAATTAGTGGTCAACGCTTTCATCTAAAAAGAATCTCCCTTATTATGTCTACTGATATCATACATCATCGCGCGCGCATGATATGTAATTTTAAACGAAATTAAAATTGGCCGATACGTTTTAGTAGAGACTTAAATGGAAAATTTAATTAAATCCATGCATTCACAACGGATTTACTATAGACGAACAGCAGACATGCTGACGAAAATATGGACGGGACACGGCTAAGCTAACAGGAGCTTGGATATTGTTACAATAAGGGCACAAAATATAAAGAGGAGAGTGACTCTACTCTATTATTTTTAGTTCTCTCAGTTTCTCTTTGCGATTTTTTCTTTTCGACAATTCTCTTCCAAATTTACTCGACTTCTTCACTGGCATTATAAAAATATCATTCGCAAATAAAGTGTTCCGCATTAATAACATACATGGAATCTAAAGATCTTATTTTAGAGGCCAAGATGAATCATTGTTTATGAACCGTGGCACTGCAACTGACGTTTCAACACGTAGAAATAATATATATTACTATATGCATTATTTCATACTCCCTT